TTAATAATATGTGTACAATAAAAATATGTATGTAATAAAATTTACAAATAATAAAGTAAATAATAGAAACGAAAAAAAAAAACAAAAATACGTTACTAAATATACAAAAATATTTGTAAAATGTGATATAAGTAAATGAAACATATAATAACATATATAAAGAGAAATATTTAACATTATAAAAATACGAATATTAAGTTCATTGTTAATGCAAATATTAGCTGAACAAATAAGTAATAAAAATAATAGCATAATATAAAAAGATAATACAAATACATAAAGTAAACAGTTTAATCTTACAACTAATGTGTAAATATAAAAAGAAGTATTACGTAGAATCAATATTTCAATCGATATTAATTGGAGTTGAAAAAAATATGATTACATAATATGATAATAATAAAAGAAAATATACTTATGTGCAAAAATAATCGTAGCAATAATTCAATTAAACAAACATCAATTGTATACATATTTATTAAGTATATTATGTAGGTTTGAATGGCGCATATATGTCGCATTACGCTCTTGAGAGATGAAAATTTTAGATGGACAGAGACGCATTTCGATCACCGAAATCATTAATGGATTGTTGGACCGTGTGTGATCAGCCGCAAAGAGAATAATCGCGCGAAATACGCGTGGTAACGAGAAATCAAAGGGAATTCGTAGGAGGAAATGCGGCCATTATCTTCCGCATGTTCTTTCCGATCCTCCGAATCGCGAATCGATTTCGCATTTATTCCTCGACTACTGACGAGAGCGACCAATAGCGACGAGAAATATAGATCTATATATAGCCGAAACGTATCGATGATTTTTAATCGATAGATCGAATGGTAGTCGTGGATACGTGGAGTACGTAGTCGCTTTAAGTGCTTCCGGATATTTGCGTCGCGTCGCATTGCATGTCGTAGAAGAAGTATCCACGCGCGTCATTATATCTCCCGTTACCGCCATAGAGATATCTATCTCTCGGTTGCGAAGCGAGGCCGTAAATGTCTCTCGTAAAAACGCGCCAAACGCGCCGTCCGTACCTTAAATGAAATTAAATCTTTAATGAACCCGAACGTGCAAACATTCGCGCCAAGAAGAGCGCTGGAAGACCTTCGGAGTGACCTATAATGTGCTCTCTGCGCTCTTTCTCTGCGATCTCTCCCTTATACTTTTTTTCTTTTACCTGTTCTTCGAGACGTTAATTGGATCAAATATATCGTTTTACTTTTAATTAATATAACTTCTTTTCTATATTTGTATATTTCACTTGATATGATATGGATAGTAACTTTTATATATTAATAGTCTCTCTTTATATATTAATAGTCTCTCTATGAATAAATTCAACATTGTCTATGATATTAGTCTTCTTTATCATCTAAAGCATCACTGTTGATCACATCGATATGATAAACGTTAAAATATTTCCTTGCGCAACAAAGGGTTCTTTTGGGGGCACTTTTTCGGGGGCAGGGATCAACGTGACGGTTAACATATTAACGGAGAAAAATTCGGGCGCATCTCGCGATATCAGCCGAGACGGGCGATAAATCGAGAATCTAGATCTGAAAAATAGCTTATCCCGGGGAACACGAGCATCCGAAGCGTCTGCTTTATCGGTGCCATAACTCAGCATTCTATCGCGCCTTGGTTGTTCCATAATGAGCGACGCCAAATGCGCCGACGATAACGTAACGCGAGGGAAAAGATAGGAAGTAATTGGAAGCTTATATGGTACTTATTGTAAGTGCCTAATCTTAAGAGCAGGAAAGAGAAAGAGACCCAGCTTCCCCGGCGCTAAATGGAACGCCGTGTGATCGCGCGACACGTCGCGCGCATGATTTATTCCGCTACAGGCTTGAGTAAATGAAGCCATCAATCGATCGTATTTCATCCATTCCGTCTCTCCATCAAATTTTCCTATATTAATCATCCGAAGAGAAACTAAATCAATTCGGAATATGTAATAAGTATCTAGTAAAACCTTTATCAACGATGCTCTCGTCACAAAGTGGGCTGTTGTTTTTTCACAAGTTTTCGTTTACTTCATCTTAAAATTATATAATCTAATTTTTTGCTAGTTTTGAGTAAATAAAATAACATTTTTATATTTCTGATATAGAAAAATTAATGCTTGACAAATAATATATAATTATTAGTCACATTAAGATTTAACATTTATTATAAATTTTTACAGCACTATAAATTACACAGAAAATAGTTTACTATTGTGTAACTTTATTATTATTTAATTAACTATCTAATCCTATAAAAATAAATGTTGATTTATATATTTTCTATTTAATTTTAATTTAATATCTCAATAATATCTCAATTTCTATAATGATTAATATATATCGTCTGTATTTATAAAAGAGATGTTCGACAGATATTCGAGAGATTAAAAATGTAAGAGAAGCCTATCAAAAAAACACATGATATAATCGCGATTCCTGCTAGTTCGAGAGCACGCTCGTTTACTATAATAACCACATGCATACGATGATCTTTGGCAGAATGAACGACGACGAAAGGCGAAGCGAGCAGGCACGTCGCGCCACTCGAGCAGGTCAAGAAGGACCTTTAAAACCTATCCCCTCCTGCCTCCCATATGTCCCTCGCGTTTACCCTATATGCCTACCCCGGTGCATTCGGGCATCTCGCTTTTTTTTTTAGACC